AGTACCCAAAATGTTGCAGCATATGCTCAAGCTGTCTCCTTAAAACAGAAAAACATCTTTGCTGTCTACACTCTGGAAGAACTAGATCTGCCATTCTTGGTTTACGACTAATGGCCAACCCCATGCTACCTTGCTGAGGGCAGCAGTCTAGGTGGCACGTTTATTTTAGAGAGATTTTAGTTATAGGGCACGTGTGCTCACCAGAGACAGACAGAAAGTGAGAAATCACCTCCTCTGGGAGATGGCCACGCCACAATCCCTTCTCCTCCACTGTCCTCTGGGGATTTGGGGCATGTATGCACACACACCTGCATGAGTTATTTATTTATTTATTTATTTTAAAGAGAGATTTTTCCTATAGGGCACGTGCAAGCCCTATAGGGCTTGCTTGCCCGATGACCACACTTCAATCCCTTTTCCTCCATTCTCCTCTCAGGATCTTGGGCACACATGCACACATGCACACATGCCCAGAGTGAGTTTAAGCCACTGAGTCTAGGACTTGAGCCACGGTCAACTACATGGGAGTCTAGTGACACAACCGTTACTCCACCTGCGGTTCCCAAGGTGGCATATTTAAATCACGTCTCCTGCCCACAGGACAGCTAGGGCCACCCAGCTCTGCACGTGTCGGCTCATTTCATCTTCCCAGCAATACTTTGAAGTAGCTACTATCATCTCCATTTTACAGACTAGAAAATGGAGGCAAAGAAGAGAGGTCGAATACCTTTCACAAACTCAAGCCTCCAGTAGGAGATCCAAGAGTCAAATGCAGAGATTCTTAACTACTATGCCACTTGGCCAAAAAAGTTATACTTTTCCCACACTTACACCAGCTTAAGAAGTGTTTACTAGAACTGCAGGAGTACATACAAGTGTCAAAATCAGACTTGGGGATAAGTGCAATGACTTGTGATTTGTTCAACACCCTTTCTTAACTCAACTGGTGGAAACCAAAGTGCCCAGGGAGCTGGAGCCACTGACCGGCCTCCAGAGCTCAGCATGCTGCTACATCTTAGGGAGGGAGTGAAGAGGAGGATGCAGTGTGGGTGTCACCTGCAGTAAGACGCGATGGCAGAATTGAAGAAAGCCCCTGAAGTCAGATCACAGTTGCAGCCAGGCGCTGGGAACTATGGGAGCCATGGGAGACTATAGGAGCCGAGGACAACCGAAGCCATAAGAGGAAACCATGAGGACGCAATTGCCAGGTGAGGCCGTTTCTCACTGTGACAGGAGCAAGAGAAATGGTAAAACCCTGGGTCTCTGCTCCTGCTGCTAAGGGGACTTCTGGTCATCTTGCAGGCTCTGTGAGGTCCGCTAGGCTCATTTTTCCGGTGAGGCTGGTTGCATGGCTGTTCCTGGGTTCCCGTGAACCAGCTGCATCCCCATACCAGACAACGGCAGTTCCTGCCCTCCCACTTCCATAGGTAGCCTCACAGTGAACTCTCCCTGAGAGATGTGGCTGCTCTCCGCCCTCGGCAGCCCGGGTAACTCAACTGCGGGTGGCCCCTGATGTGGCACGACAGTAGGCACCTCCTGGGGGCCCCGGACAGTTCTCTCCAGAAACAATACCAAATAAACATAGTCACGTCCTTACTGATTCTCTCTTTTTCTTTCTTTCTTTTCTTCCTCAACGTCCATTTGCATCTTTCTTCCATGAGTGGAGAGACAGGACTCCCAACAGGCTCTTCCGTGGCAACCCGTCCCCAGTTGCGGCCAGCCCTGAGCCACCACACCTGGCATGTTTAGGGCGGTCTCCAGGAACCTTCCCTGTGGGTCAGTCTTGCAGATCATTGTGTTACTGCTACACCACCGGCCAACCTACATCTTTTTTTTTTAATTGCTACAGGGCACATGCACTTGCCAGAGAGAGACAGAGAGAGAGAGAAATGGAGAGGGGAAGTGAGAATCATCTCCCAGGCAGGATGGTCACACCGCCATCTCTCCTCTTCCATTGTCCTCTCAGAATTTGGGGCATACACACACATTCCCTGTGGATTTTTGTTTTGTTTTGCTTTTTCACACAGGGTTGGGTCCTGGACTCGAACTGGGCAGTGGGATCTAGTGGTTTCATCCACCATGCCACTGACCGATGTGACGATCTTCTTACAGATGCCGCGAAAACGCTCTTTGGTTAACCTTCTTCCAACAAGTGTCGTACAATAAAATCAATATGTATGAGCTTTCTTAATTACAACCCAATCCCAGCCCTGTCTTCTCGAGGTTAGCATCAGATCACCTTGATTAGAATTGAATGTTGAGTTTTCCTTAAACTTTCCCATCACAGTCAAGCCTGAGGGTTATATCATATTAATAAATGGCTGGGCTCGCCACGACAATTTGATTCTTTTTAGCACTCTCCAACATTTGAACATGTTCAATTTTGGTCTTTGAAAAAAATTTTAGGGCCAGCCCGTAGTATGGTGGTTAAGACAGCTGGACTCAGCCAATTGTATGGTTCAAGTCCCACACCTAGAAGCTCAGAAAAACATGCCAGGCACGTGTGCCCAAAATCCTGAGAGGAGAATGGAGGACAAGGGATTGCGGTGTGGCCATCCTAGCTAGGGGGTGATTTCTCACTTCCGTCTCTCTTCAGAGAGTACATGTACTCTATGAAAAAAAATCTAAAGGAAAGGTTGGGGGACCAGCAGGTGGCATGGTGGTTAAGGCGCTGGGCGCTCCCACATGGCTGACCACGGTTTGAGTCCCAAACCTGGTGGCTTGCTTTCTGTTTCCCACTCTTTCTTTCTGCGTTTCTCTCTGGTCACATTAAAATAAATAAATGAACAAATAAAATTAAATAAATAAGAAAAAAGGGCCCCCCAGTGGGGCATAACCATGTTGCAATCCCTTTTCCTCCACTTTTCCACCCTATCAGGATTCTGAGCATGCACACGCACCCAGCTTGTTTCTCAAGTGCTGGGCCTGGATTTGCACTGTGGTCATTCAAATTAGGATCCAGCACCTAATGCGCGCTCAACCACTGGGCTATAGGGTCTATCACCTTTAGCTATTGCAAAATACACAAGAAGTTATGCTTAACTATCACCACGCTCCCACTGTGCTGCAGAACACCAGACCGTAGGCCTCCCATCGAGCTGCATTCTCGTACTGTAATCAGCCCCTCTCTACCACTCCTTCCCCTACCTATCCCAGCCCACCCCATCCCAAGTTCTCTCACTCACGGAAGATATAAATACACAAAACAAAACACTGAACATTTGAAATGCCAAGGCCTTTCTACTTCTCTGCAGACAAAATATCTCCTCTCTGAGGTAGCACGCACCACTGAATGAAAAGGGAAGCAAGGGGCACGAAGTGCGTGTCCCCGTGTGGGGGGCAATGGTGGTGAGAAGCTTGAGTAACATCCGCGGTGGACACAGTGGTTGACTCCCAGCATCCATTCCACACCAGGTGACCAGCCGAAGCCAATGGATACCTTTCCCCTGGCAAACCTTATTGGTTCAGGAGTGGACACGCCAACGACAGTACCTCAATGACAGCTTAACAGCCTAAAGGAAAGTATTTATTTATTTATTTATTTTAAATGTATTTATTTAATTTTATTTATTCTCTCATTTATTTTTTAATTTGGCCAGAGAGAGATACACACACACAGAGAGAGAGAGAGAGAGGGAAAATGAGAAAACAAGCTACCAGGTCCAGGACTTGAACCATGGTCAACCATGTGGGAGTGTCCAGCACTTTAGCCAGCATGTCACCTGCTGGTCCCAAAAGTATTTATTTTTACGTTTACTTATTTATTTCATGAATGAGAGAAAGAGAGAGGCAGCACTCCCAACAGAGTCTGATGCCACAATCCACCCCAGCCCTAGCCAACTCTGGTGCGCACAGCCTGGAGCACTCAGGGAGGTCTCCAGACATGACCCTGGAGCCT